ACAAAATATATGTTTAAACAATATTTCAAATTATTATAAGAAATATGTTTATTGAATGATATAATCTACAAATGTCAATTTAAAAATACAATAAAGGGTTATGTTCCTAATATTATTTAATTCATTTATGGTGTTTTATATCAAATGTTGAATAATAATTTGTTTTATATTTCTATGCGTGTTTCGCATTATTATATATCAAAAGATTCTATATATATATGTAAATTACATAAATATTATGGGGATATTTTAATAATAGATCACTTTTCAATATATTATTAAAAGAAAATATATTTATTTTTACACTAATTAGAATTTTCTGTGCTAGGTAAAAATATATTTCACTTGTTATATGCATTGTTTATTATGATATGAATAACAAAATTCGCCATTCTTTTTATGCACATTTTTCATATTTTATACATTAATATAATAATTATAGTTTGTTTTAGTATGTATATATTTCATATTTTTTTACCTGTATTATCATATTTCTTGTTTTAATTACTTATAGAAAAAAAAATTTGAATGTTATATATAAATCCCATGAACAAAGTTCATCTTTCAAATTTTATCATCTCTATTATTAGATTAGAATTAATAATAAATAACAATTGCCATTTATGTAAATGTATTATTATATGTTTTTACAACATATTGATTACGAACATTTTTGTATATTATTGGGAAATATTTAAAAAATTATATTTCATTTATTATCACGTATTATAAAATAATTGTAATTTTTCCATGATACTATCATTATAATTAAATATTAATTACATTTATTTTCATTTTTCTACTTGTTATTGTAAAATAATAATTTTTTTAATTTATTATTTAAATGAATCTATGTTGTATTTTTAGTAGTATTATGTGTTCTTCATGTGTAACCTATGGAGTTACATCCTATTTCGTACATATTATGAAAAAAATCATTGTTTGTGAATTCAGATGAATCCATTATGTTGACATGATCTTTATTTTTTTTTATTCCATATTCTCGTTAACACTCCTACTGCTAGTTGTAAAAATGAATCATACGGAGTATGCTGATAATGTACGAACAATTTGATATATAAATGTGCCATTTATTTTATGAAAATTTTTCATAATTACTTTTAACATAATTTTTAAGGAAATTATATAATAAATTGGTCAACTTTATATTTAACCTTATATATGTAGATTGTTATCATCAATACTGTAAAAGGTATGATAAGTAAAGTTGTGTTATTGATAGGCGTTTTGATGAATACGCAAGGAATTTCAGCTATCTTTCATATCAAAAATATGGCAAATTTTTCTTTTTAAATTCATCTCGTGCTGTACGAAGAGCGGCGCTATTTATTTTTTCACTTTTTTCTGATAGTTCCTTGTACGTCCTAAAAATAAGTGTAACAGTATTACATTTATTACGAAGCCTGGAAGATATTTTATATAATATATACAGATCCTGCAATAAAGGAAAAATAAATTATTATCAATATCAAGAATATCACTTTTATATACATCAAAAAAATTCTTAATAATACTTCCTTTGCTTTTATTCATAATTTCATCATAAAAAATTTTTGTGACATTGACCTTGCATTCAGAACATTTTAGTACAAGATTTTAAATATAATTTAAATAAATACAACTTCGTTCTACATTATATTTTTTATAAACTTATATATAGCCTAAATAGCGTATATGTTCTTTACAATGTGATAATAAGTGTCCATCATTCATGTGA